CCCATTATTGGAAACATCCTTCAGATAGATGTAAAGGACATCAGCAAGTCCTTCACCAATGTAAGTACCTTCTTGCTACATAGTGACAGAAAAGTAAGAACGATTCTCTGCTGTTAAATAAGTACATTTCTGGGGTTAAACTATGTTATCATATAGCAAATGTGCACTGTGGATTTTCATATTTGGCTTCTCATTGTCAGAAACGATTAAATGAGATAATGTATTTGTCCAGGATAAACATTTTTACACTGAAAGGTAAAATCCATCTAGCAGAGAGACCAGCTACTTTTTCATTGTTTCATGATTCTTAGCTACAACTTTTTGCACAAGATAAAAGGTATTGGAATCATTTTGAGTATTTACTGGAGACATCATCTCTATGTACATGTGTATTTTCTTTAGGTTAGCCAACCAAAATAATAATTAAATATTTTCCAAAGAAACAAGTTATGTCTGATATCAAGGAGTCTGAGTCAACATTAAACATCTGTGAAGGAAATAGAACTAGTAAGGTCCAGTGAGGCCTCATTGTTTCTGTCAGAACCTATGAATGAGTAGCATGGAAGAGCTAGTCCTGTGGGATGTTGCCTGTGCTGTTCTGCTTGCTGTCTGCTCTTTAGTCAGTCATATCAGGATAGCAGACAGCCTGGCATCACATTCACCTAGAGAGGGACTTCTGTTATTTTAGTAATATGATAATATCTTAAATTAATTAATTAACATCCCCAAAGCTACCCTCCTCTTGGTCCCTGTTCACAGGATTCCTCTCCCCATGTTTCCTCCTCCTTACCTCTGAAAGGGTGCCCCACCCCTGGGAATGCCCTTACCCTGGTGCATCAAGTCTCTGCAGGACTAGGTGCATCCTCTCCCACTGAGGCCAGACAAGGCAGCCCTCTGCTACATATGTGCCGCGGCTACAGATTGGTGTATGCTCTTTGGTTGGTATCTCAGTCTCTTGGAGCTTCTAGGGGTCCAAGTTAGTTGACACTGTTGGTCTTCCTGTGGGGTTGCTATTCCCTTCAGGGCCTTCAATCACTCCTTTAACTCTTCCATAGGGGTTCCTGACCTCAATCCAGGGCTTGGCTGTGTGTATCTGCATCTGTCTCAATCAGCTGCTGGTAGAGCCTCTCAAGTTATACTAGGCTCCTATCTGCAAGCACAGCATAATATCATTAATAGTGTCAGAGACTGATGCCTGTCCATGGGATGGGTCTCAAGTGGGGTCAGTTTCTGTTTGACCATTTCTTCAGTCTCTCCTATATTTTTGTCCCTGTATTTCTTTTAGATAAGATGAATTCTGGGTCAAAAATTTTGAATGTGGGTTGGTGTCACCATCTCTCCACTGGGGTCCTGGAGGTGGTCTCTTCAGGTTCTATATCCCCAGTGTGGGTATTTCAGCTAAGGTCATCACCATTGACTCCTGGAAGCCTCCTAGGGGGAGTTTTTATTGGATATTTTATTTATTTACATTTCAGGTGTTATCCCCTTTCCCCGTCCCCACCCATACTCCCTACCCCATCTCCCCTCCTCCTGCTTTTATTAGGGTGTACCCACTCACCCACTCACTCTCACCTCCCCATCCTTGAATTCCCCCACACTGGGGCATCCAGCCTTCATGGAACCAAGGACCTCCTCTCCCACCTATGCCGGACAAGGCCACCCTCCCTTACATATACAGCTGGAGCCATGAGTCCCTCCCTGTGTGCTCCCAGGCTGGTGATTTAGACCCTGGGAGCTCTGGTTGGTTGGTATTGTTGCTCTACCCATGGGGCCTCAAACCCTTTCTGGTAGGTTTCCAGTATTTATCATAGGGTAATTGGGTGACTCTGTGAGAAGAGCTCAGTAGAATCCTGAAGCAAAGTCCTTCATAGTTGAGTATTTGTTTCAGTATGGACACAGGGGACTGGTTTGTGCCGGTCTGCTAGCTTGATGTTGAACAACCTTTGAGGGGGGAAGTGAGCATGATTATAGGAAAGGCAGAAAAAAAAACACAAAGTAAAACATTTAGGATTGAGAGGGCTGAAGTTAAATATCATGCCAGCCTTGAGACGAGTTTGTTTTTCTTAGCTTTTTTATACTTCACAGTACCATGGGAAACATAGCCACAAGCTAACAGAAACAATTGCTGAAATATACACATAAGACATCTGTTCCCATCTAAAAGACTCCCTATTAATTCTACCAGGGTCAACACTATAGAATCTTCAGCTTCTCACTGTGAGCTTCAAGTATACCTCCTGTTATCGTTCCATGCCTCATCATGCCAGGAACTCTGTAGGGTTGTGAGCCCAAGCCCACTCCACCCTGGGTAGAGCTGCTTGGGGAGGCCCATGCTGCCACCAGGGTGGGTGCTGGGCTGTAGGAAAGCACTGAGACACCGCTTCGGGGGTGGGAAAGTGCAGTCTGAGGCATGGGAAAGCTGGAGCTGGTTCAGGGGTCCTTGGGCCTGCTATGAGGCCTGGCCGTGGGGTTCTCAGGCTCTTGGACATCCAGGCACCAATGGGAGTTGCAGAAGAACAGAGAACAGAGTTGGAGGCCCACAGGCTGCATCTAGTCTGGGGCTGGGGTAGCAGAGCAGGAAGCGAGGAGCAGAGCTCTGGCTGGTCACAGTAGCGATAGTTCTTGGCTTGATGGTAATCATGGCTGGGAGTGCAGAGAGGTCTTCTACGGGAGACTAGACTGTGGCTCTATGGTTGAAGGCTTCTCCATGGCTCCCAACGGTGGATCTCAATGAAAAGAGACAATTCATGATTCTAAACAGTATGTTGTCATGGTGGATAACGGATGTGTAAAACCATACTCCACTTCTCAGTGTGGGCCTGAGCATAAATATTTCCAGGGAGGATTGTTTGGGAAGAGAAGCTTTAGCAATGCCCTCTGGGGCTCTAGATACCTCATTAGCATGGAGCCTACATGACAGTGGTCATAGCACTTTTCCTTTTGTCTTGGTCTGAGATGTTAGGGGTGCCTCATCTACATGTGGAAAGGACTGAGGGCATTACCCTTACATGACTGATGGCCACAAATCTATGGGGGGTGAGGGGCTGTGGCTATGTGACAGGGGCCTGGAGCTGGGAGCAGGTGAAGCTCCTGCCATCCCATCAGGGTCTCTAGCAGAGACCCTTTAGCTTGACCTTATCAGGCTCCCTCTTATGATCCATCACCCCGCAGAAATCCGCCAACAGACCCTGATCTACCTTGACTGCCTAGCAGACAGAGATTTTCTTTTCTTTTTTCTTTTTCTCTCTCTGCTCCAGAGAAGTGACAAAGGGTTCCCAACTCTAGTTCATTGGCCAAGTATCAGAGATCTTCAGAGATATTCAAATCTTAGTGTTGAATTTTTACCCATGAGAAAGTGAAATGAATTTGAGATTCTTCTAACCTCAGTGTCTTTTTCTGTAAATTCACAGATAAACTTACTTCAAAGTGTCACAGTTCTGACAATTTGCACATTGGTTTGTCTGGCAATCTTCTGGTAAACAAGACACATGCTAGATGTGAAGGCTATAGCAAACAGCTTTTTATGTACTGAATCTAAATTTGATGTTGTGGTTGGCAGACTACAGATGTGGACAGTAAGATGCTCACGTTAGCCTAGAGTCTTCTTCTGTTACTTTATAATTCCTTTCTTATTTGCAGTTCTCAAAAGTCTATGGCCCTGTGTTCACTCTGTACTTTGGTCCAAAGCCTACTGTGGTGGTACATGGATATGAAGCAGTAAAGGAAGCCCTGGATGACCTTGGAGAGGAGTTTTCTGGGAGGGGTAGTTTCCCAATTGTTGAAAGAATGAATAATGGTCTGGGTAAGTGTGCACATTCACATATGTGCAAGTATGCACATGCATATGTATGCATGTATATGCTGAGCAGGGATCATAGGGATTAGACGGGAAAACCTCCTTAGGCAGTGTCTTAGTTAGGGTTTTACTGCTGTGAACAGACACCATCACCAAGGTAACTCATAAGGATAACATTCAATTGGGGTTGGCTTACAGGTTCAGAGGTTCAGTTCATTATCATCAAGATGGGAACAAGGTGGTGTCCAGGTAGGCATGGTGCAGGAGCAGCTGAGAGTTCTTTTTCATTTGAAGGCCATTGGGAAAAGACTGCCTTCCAGGCAGCTAAAACGAGGGTCTTAAAGCCCATGCCCACAGTGACACACTTCCTCCAACAAGGCCTACTGCAATAATGTTATACCTCTAAATGTGCCACTCTCTGGGTTAAGCATTTCAAACCACCACAGGCAGGTAGCCAAGTGGCAGTCAGGGTCCTGTTCCCTCCATTGCCTGGGGTCCCCCTTCTAGTTTCCATTTCCTGTTCTGGTAGGGGTCATTTTCAGCAATGGAAAAAAATGGAAGGAGCTTCGGCGCTTCTCACTTATGACCTTGAGGAATTTTGGAATGGGGAAGAGGAGCATTGAGGACCGCATTCAAGAGGAAGCATCTTGTCTTGTAGAAGAACTAAGAAAAACAAATGGTGGGTACCTGTTTGCCTGGCTCTTCCTCTATATGCCCTTTCAACACTGCAGTGGTAACCAGCTACTTCTGGGCAGCAGTTGTTAGCTCTCATGCTAGTGCCCAAGGACAGAGCGTTGCTTGTCTGTCCTCATGTCTGTACATGCTGATTGTGCACACAGTATGGACAAAATAGTCATTTAATCCCATTCTGACCCAGTTGCTTTCAAAAAAGAACTTCATGAAGATAGAAAGTGTTAAGCCTCATTAAAATTCACACAGGGTAACATTTTCCTGTAGTGTCATTGTGACTTTGTTATTAAGAATATTTCCTTGGGGGCTGGTGAGATGGCTCAGCAGTTAAGAGCACTGACTACTCTTCTAGAGGTCATGAGTTCAAATCCCAGCAACCACATGGTGGCTCACAACCATCTACAATGAGATCTGATACCATCATATGGGTGTCTGAAGACAGCTACAGTGTACTTACATAATAAATAAATAAATCTTTAAAAAAATATTTCCTTGGACAGTATTTGTCAAGTGTACATGGTATGATTGACCTCATCATATTTTCATGGAAGATGAGAAAGTGACATGTTTTGTCATCGAAGTATTCTATATCTGGTCAGCTTTAGTGACACATATTTGCTTCAAGACCCATGCTTGCAACTTCTGCCAGTAATGATGCTTATCAAAATTTTATTTTCTTCTGCTACTTTCATCAGTTGTGTTTACCATGTAAACAAAGGGCTGTTTAAAAGATGTCAAGTAGTTACATGATGTTAATAACTACTTGCTATGGTTTTTCATATCTCTCGTGTCAGTATGTGCTATGGTGAATTCTGCTAATATAGAACATGTATGACTTTATTTATTTATTTATTTATTTATTTATTTTTTGAGACAGGGTTTCTTTGTGTAGCCATGGCTGTCCTCGAACTGAACTCACTCTGTAGACCAGGCTGCCTTCGAACTCAGAAATACGCCTGCCTCTGGCTCCCAAGTGCTGGGATTAAAGGCTTGCGCCACCACTGTCCAGTGACATTATTTATTTAACCATATTTCAACTACTATTAACTTTATCCTGTCTTCTGCTAATTGTAAATTAGCTTTCTTTTTTTTTTAAAGATTTATTTATTTATTATATATGAATACACTGTAGCTGTCTTCAGACACACCAGAAGAGGGCATCAGATCTCATTACAGATGGTTGTGAGCCATCATGTGGTTGCTGGGATTTGAACTCATGACCTCTGGAAGTGCAGTCAGTGCTCTTAACCACCACTGAGCCATCTCTCCAGCCCATAAATTAGCTTTCATTCTATCCTTTGTAATTTACTTATTAGCCACATTTTAGTTTTCTCTATTTTACTCTTTTTGATTCATGGATGTCTTCCAGATCTTGGGAGGGACCTCTACACCCATGTTTAGCTATTTCCTAGACATAGAAAGCATGCCTTTGATTTTTCAACTAGTCCATTCTCCCAAATGTTTTCTTTACCAAATTTACAAATGGAAGTCCTGTGTTTTCTTTGCTCCAGGTCACATGACAGCAAGATGTGGTATCCCTAAGAGCATCCAGATCCCACAGAGTTTATGCTCAATGAAGTTCACTCAGTGTTTCTACTCTGCCTCATGCATTTCTCTTGTGTAATACCTGATGTGTTTTCTGGACCTCTCTTTGCTCCTGTCTGCAAGCCAACCCTGATGTTCTCCCTGAGTGACCCTATGTGGAATTGTGTGTCTCTCCTCTTCAGCTATATAACCACCAGTCTTTCCCATGATTCTCATTTGATTTGCTGCCCTCTACATATCTAGATAAAAAAGAAGTTCTGGGTGCATCTTAAAACATTGAATTTTTGGCTTGAAATATTTCTTATAATTATTGTCAAAGTGAATTTGCGTTTTCAGCTTGGGTTCCAAGTTACCCCGAGTTTAATTATCTTTCCTAAATGTAAGGTTAGATTAGAAATCTAAGAAAATTTTTGATATTTATTTATTTTCAGTTTTACTTTATGTAAATGGGTGTGTTGCCTGCATGCAAGTCTGTGTCCTGTAAGCTCCCTGTTGCCAGGATATATATTTAGAATTTGTAGTTGTCAAGATACAATGACATTTGCAAGCTACACAGGTGCATACTTTTCATTTATTACATGCATTTCATTTCATTATATCTATGATATAAGCTTGAGGACTTATTGATAATTCAATTAAAAACTGGTTTGAAGACAGCATCTCACTCTGTAATACAGAATTTATCTCTGAGTTTGTTATGCTGTCATCCTGAAGGGCAGGGAATCCGGATTGTTATACCACACTTTCTGAATCAGTACCATTTTATTTAAATATGCCAATGCAAAATTAATATTTTGTCGTACACTGCCCGCGCGTGCTGGTCACGGGCGGGGGAGCAGCGGTCCTGGGGCGTGTTGTTCAGTCGCGCTGGACTGAGCCGACCGCGGAGAGAAAGGCTTCTCATCCCCCTGTCCCCCGAGCTGACACACGGGGGGGGGGGGGGGGGGGGGGAGGCCAGCTCGGGCAGCTGCTCGGCTAGCTAGAGTCCCTCCCCCTCCCTGTGCAGATAGGGGCGCCCGGGAGTCTTGACTTACACGAATCCGAAATTCATGAGACATGTGGAGATTTAAGATGTGTTGATTTATTAACAGATGGCGGGTTTGGGTGGTGTGGAGCTTTCCCGAAACATGTCAGAAAGGGTTTGTTTATATATTGGAAGTGGGCGGGGCTTCAGGTAATACGTAAATTTTGAGGCAGAAACCTGTTAGTCTCGTGACCTAGTGAGGGCTTTATGCTAGGTCTCTGGGTTTTGGGGGCATGGCCGAACACCCAGGATTTTACAGTCTCACAATATTTCTTCTGCTTTTATTTCTTATGATAAAATTGACTTAAATGACTGGCAAATAAAAAAAAAAAAGCATAGGCTCTGTTGATGGCTATAAAGGACAGTAACCCAGGATTTCAATAGACGGTAGGCTTTATATAGACAAGTTAAAGCGATATACCTGGTGACTAGGGACACAAAATTCTATATTTTTTCTTTTTCAATGTTGAAATGAAGGAATTAAAGGACTCCACTTATTAATGTAACTATGTATTTGTCCCATTTCGATTTTTATTTGAAATTACTTTAATTTCATCTTTATTTTAGGTAAACAAATCTCTAAGAATTGGTGCTTGTGTTTTGCTACTATTTTATTTTTTTGATATAGGTATTTTTGTTCTTTCAAATTTGTTCTGATGAATGCTGCATTTCTTGTAATCTTTTTTTCCTTGATCGTCTTCTCTGCTGGTTGTGGTGGACATGACTCCTTCAGCTATTCACTGGACATAAAATGTTTTCAGGTTGCTATTTTCTTCCTTAATTGTTTAGAAATTGCAAAGAGATGAGGCTCTACATGGAAAACTTGAATTTTTATGTATTCTTAAAAGGGATAATGTGAGTATCTGTAACTGTATTGGTCAGGTGCTGGTAGAACCTCTCAGGGAACAGCCATACCCAGTTCCTGTCAGCAAGCACTTCTTAGTAACAGCAATAAAAAATAAAAACAAAAACAAAAATAAAAATAAATGCTCTCATTTTCAAAAATATTGTAATGTATAGCCTGGCAGTGGTGGCACACATCTTTAGTCCCAACACTTGAGATGCAGAGGCTAGATGGATCTCTGTGAGTTTGAGGCCATCCATGCCTACAGAGAAAGTTTCAGGACAGCCCAGGCTACACAGAGAAACCTTGTGTTGAAAAAAACAACAAAAAATGTGATGATATATTTTCTTAGAACTTAACTTAGAATACATACACAAAGGATGATGTTTACAAAGAGAGATGCTGTTAAAGATTTAGCTAATGATTATTAAGCAAGCTAAAACTAAAGAAACAGTGATGTTCTAATTGAAAGCATGTGGAAGTTCTTGCCAATATGGTAACTTCTGTGCCAATACTTCCTTAGGGACTCTAAAATAATTTGTTTTTAGTCTAAAGATAAAGACATTTACGTGGATGTTTTAATGGTATTTTAAACTATAAATACTTTTACATGCATGTTTCAATGGTGTTGTAAACTGTTTTCAATCCTTCAGGCTCACTCTGTGACCCCACATTCATCCTGAGCTGTGCTCCTTCCAATGTGATCTGTTCAGTTATTTTCCACAATCGTTTTGATTATAAAGATGAGAATTTTCTTAACTTGATGGAGAAATTGAATGAAAACTTTAAAATCTTGAACTCCCCATGGATGCAAGTGAGTCAAAGATATTCTCTTTACAAGAAATCATGTATGATTATTTCTATATCAAATTAAAAGCTTTTAATATGTATTTATTTATTTATTAATCATTTTATTTATTTACATTTCAAATGTTATCCCCTTTCCTTGCCTTCCCTCCATGAGCCTCTCCACTCCCCCTTCCCTTTGCCTCTAAGAGGGTGCTCCCCCACCCACCATCCACTTCTACCTCACCTCTCCAGCATCTCCTTTCTCTGGGGCATCAAGCCTCCATAGGACCAAATACCTCCCCTCCCACTGATGCCTGATGAGGTAGTCCTCTGCTACATATGTAGTGAAGTCATGGATTTTTCCATGTATACTCATTGGTTGGTGGTTAAGTCCCTGGGAACTCTGAGGCGTCCGGTTAGTTGACACTGTTGTTCTTTTTATGGGATTGCAATCCCTTTCAGCTCCTTCAGTCCTTCCCTTACCTCTACCATTAGGGTCCCTGGGCTCAGTCCAATGGTTGGCTATGAGTATATGCATCTGTCTTAGTCAGATTTTAGCAGACTTCTCAGAGAACAGCCATACCAGGCTCCTGTCTGTAAGCACATCTTGGCATAAGCAATAGTATTGGGGTTTGGTGTTTGCAGATGGAATGAATCCCACAGTGGGACAGTCTCTGGATGGCCTTTCCTTCAGCCTCTGCTCTATTTTTGTCCCTGCATTTCCTTTAGACAGGGACAATTCTGGATCAGGTATGGGAAGAGGCAGGAGAGAAGTCCAGAGGGCCAGGAGAATGAATAAAAACACGTAGCTGTTGGGGGGTGGGGAACTTGGGGAACTACTAGAAAGTCCCAGATGCCAGGGATGTGAGAGGCTCCCAGGACCCAATGGGATGACATTAGCCAAAATTCCCAAGAGCCAGGAGATAGAATCTGAAGAGACCATCTCCAATAAATAAACATGATCTCCAGTGAGGGGATGGGGGCCCACCAATCTAAAAAATCTTAACACAAACTAAAAATTTTACTTCAGTGCACTGTGCCTATTTTCCAGATACTTACCTCAAAGCTTGGAATAAAGAACTTTGTTGGACAGCAGAATCAGTCTCTCTTATCCTCCCTCTCTTCCTCCTTCCCTCCCTCCTTCCTTCACCCCTTTCTCCTTCCTTTCCTCCTTCCTTCACCCCTCTCTCCCCTTCTTGGTTACTCAGGAGGGAGTAAGTGAAGGAAAAATGAAGGGTGAGGCTGACGATAAATCTTAGTGTGGAGAGCTTGTGTAGTTTACACAAGGCCTTGAGTTTGATTCCCGATACAGAAATAACAAAAGGAAGCCACATGCCAGTTATAAGGTGCCACTATAAGGTTTTAAGGCCACTGTCAAGCCAAGGAGCCAGATGAGACAAGGGCAGACAGTACCACAAAGCCTTTCTACATTTTTTTCTTTTTACATAGATGTTGCACTTCCATACTTGTCTGTGTACCACATGCTTGCCTTGTGCCCACAGAGGTCAGAAGAGGGCATCCAACCCCCTCAAACTGGTGTTATAGACAGTTATGAGCCACCACATGGGTGCAAGGAATTCAACCATGCTCCTCTGGAAGAGCAACAAGTGTTCTTAACCTCTGAGCTACCTGTCCAGCCCCTTTCCTATCCTTTTCTTATTTTAAACTCAATTCCTCTTTTTTTATGGACTCTGTTTCCACATGGTTAAACGTTGATCATTTTCTGGAGTGAGGGCAGTCAATCTTCCCATTATTGTTCCTAAGTACCCATCCTTTCTATTTTAAGAGTAAAATATACATCACACACGCTCACACACACACACGCACACGCACACGCACACACACATAAGCTACTGAGTACATTTAGTGTTGCTCATGTGCAAATTGTTTAGGAATCCTGGGATTAGATAACTTATTAGGGGGCTCATTGCTGAGGAATAATTCCCTCCCTCTTAGCAGCCATTGGTTGTCTGTAGCTCTAAAATTACATGTGGGACCTTCTGAGATTTCTCCCATCCATGTGGGCATGTCAACTGGTGTTGCCATTGTGCAGTTCTTGTTCAGGCTATCATATTGTTGATATTGCATGGATACAGCTTCTCCTTCATATGTAGAAGATACCATCTCCCTGGTACAAATATCCTGGACTGGTTTTCACAATACTTTGGCTCCCTCTTCAATGTATTCCCTAATCCTTAGGTGTAGGAGTTGCTTTGTAAATCTATCAGTTGGCATTGGGCACCCCACAGTCAGTTGTTCTCTGCATTTTGATCAGTTGTGAATTTCTGTCATAGTATCCACCTGTTTTAAAAAGAAGTTTCTTTAGTAAGGAGTGAGAGCTAGTTTGCTGTGTGTATAGGCTAAATATTTAGGATGTAGTTAGAAGTTATACTGATTTAGGAAAGTAGTAATAGTACTTTCCTCTTTGGGGTCTGTAACCTTACCAGCTATTGGTACTTGACTATATTTACAGTACTACTCAAATTTCCCTCAATTGAGCAGAAGTTAAGTCCTAGTAGACACTTCTTGGTTACTCCCAAGATATATATGCCACTATTGCATCATCAGGGATACCTTGCTGTTCTGGTCACTGTTGAGGTTTGTAGGTTTTTGTAGTTGCATAAAGACTTACAATTGCTTTTTTCTCTTGGTAACTTATGTATTATCTTTGAATACAGTGGGAGTTAGTCCTCAGTGAAGAGATTTACAGGTTAGTTTCAGCTGGATTTTAAAAAAATCCTGTGTGTCCCAAATGTGTTGCTTTTGGGAGTAGGGTCTTAGCTTCAAGTTCTGGGAGGCAATCATGGGCAATGGCAAAGGCAATCAGTCTATACTGTTTTAAGAGCTTCTTGGAGTTTACCAAATGCCAACTTGAAGGGAGCTTTTCCATGCCTCTCCCTGGGGTTTTTGTAAGAGAGTCTATGGTTCTTGAGGGGAGCATTATCATAGTAAAAGAAATAGTACAACTTCATATTTGAAGTTTTATATACATGATTTATTTATCCTTCTTCCCACTATCTCCTGTATTACCATTTTTCCCTACTTAAAGTCTCCCTCTCTGTTTTATAATTTTGCAATTTCTTCCTTCATGATCTTTGCATCCTTCCCAGTTTTAAAGTCAGGGTTCCATTCTGGAGGTTGAGTGATTGTTATAAAAACAGCAGGAGTGACTTTGTGCTCTGTAGTGCACTGCCCAAACTTCCTTAATCTCTGTCCTCATTAATAACATGATTATTAGAAATTCATAAAATCTGAAGGGTTAAAAAGTTTAAATCAGCATGTGAAGTGATGGGCTTCATTATGATGTGTGTGTCTCTGTGTGTGCCTGTGTCTGTGTGATTATACTTTGTTTTTATTTATTTCCCTCTTTCACTGCCCACACTATCCCTCCTTTTCCCATGCTTGCTGGTTCTCTTTGTTCCCCTACCCAGAACTCTCTTCTTATTTTCTGTCATATGAATTCTCCCCCTTATCTTTCGTCCTCTCCTTCTACTTCAGCTGATTTTCTTCCTTCTCATTGTTCCCTTTCTTTCATTACTTATACACAGATCTCCAGCCCCATGTGTTTTCCTGAAAAATGTAATGATTTCATTATTTTTATTGGATATTTTATTTATTTACATTGAAAATGTTATCCCCTTTCCAGGTTTCTCCACCGGAAATCCCCTATCCCCTCCCCCATCCCCCTGCTTCTATGAGGGTGCTCCCCCAACCCACTCCTGCCTCCCCGCCCTGGCATTTCCCTATACTCAGGCTTTGAGCTTTCACAAGATCAAGGGTCTATCCTCCAGTTGATGCCCAACAAGGCCATCCTGTGCTACATATGCGTCAGGAGCCATGGATCCCTTCATTTGTACTCTTTGGTTGGTGGTTTAGTCCCTGGGAGCTCTGGGGGGGGGTCTAGTTGGTTGATATTGTTGTTCTTCCTATGGAGTTTCAAACCCTTTCAGCTCCTTCAGTCCTTTCTCTAACTCCTCTATTGGGGAGGAGTCCAATGGTTGGCTGCGAGCATCCTCCACTGTATTTGTCAGGCTCTGCCAGAGCCTCTCAAGAGACAGCTATATCAGGCTCCTGTCAGCAAGCACTTTTTGCCATCTACAATAATGTTGGGGTTTGGTATATGGGATGAATCTCCAGGTTGGGCAGTCTCTGGATGGCTTTTCTCTCAGTCTCTGCTCCACACTTTGTATCTGTATTTCTTCCCGTATTTTGTCCCCAGTTCTAAGAAGTACTGAAGCATCTACACTTTGGTCTTCCTTCTATTTGAGCTTCATGTGGTCTGTGAATTATATCTTTGGTAATACGAGCTTTCGGGCTAATATCTACTTATCAGTGAATGCATATCATGTGTGTTCTTTTGTGATTGGGTTACCTCACTCAGGATGATACTTTCTAGTTTCATCTATTTGCCTGTGAATTTCATGAATTCATTGTTTTTATTAGCTGAGTAGTACTCCATTGTGTAAATGTACCACACTTTCTGTATCCATTCCTCTGTTGAAGGACATCTTGGTTCTTTCCAGCTTCTGGCCATTACATATGTGGAGCTATGAACATAGTGAAGCATGTGTACTTGTTATATGTTGGAGCATCTTTTGGGTATATGCCCAGGAGTGGTATAACTGAGTCCTCAGGTAGTACTATGTTCAGTTTTCTGAGGAAACACCAGACTGATTTCCAGAGTGTTTGTACCAGCTT